TTGTGCTGCACGAGAGGCGCGTGGATGACGCTTTCCGCACTTTTTTTTCACTACCACTTTAATAATTGTGGGGACGGGGGGTCGCGTTGCGCTCTCTCGTGGCGGCTGGCCCAGTTTGTGTGTGGTCACGAAGGCAATGCAACTAATGCACTTCTTCTTGTTGCACTTTATCTTCTCTTTTTCTGGCGCAAGGGGGCTAGTATAGGGCACGGGCTATTCATCTGCGGAGGAGGCAAGAGGGCACCCCGCCACTTTTCTGCCTCCTCTTTTTGGACGTTCGCATATAAATAATGACTTTTCCGTTGAATCGGCGCTGATAAACGCAGGTTGAGGCATAATTCGATCTGAGCTTTAAAGTTTTTCGTTCTTGTTTGGGTTTTTTTTTCAGTGGGGTCCGAATAGTACTTCAATTGTCTTTTTCTTTCAATACTACGCTTGGTTCCTATGCATTGCACGCTGTTTTTTTTATTTGTCGTTTTTGTTTTTGTTTTTTTTTTTTTAGTATCTGTGCGGTGCCGGCTTTGTCACGGTATTTGGGTGGAGGGAAGGGCCGAGGTGAAGGGTCTTCGTGCAGGCATATATTTTTGGTGTTAGGTATCTTTTTTTTTTGAAGTATAAAAGCGCGCTTTGGTTTCTGGCCCCACAGCGCTTGCGTCGGGCGGCAGTCTCAACAATAAAGGAAGGTTGCGTGAGGCGTGAGGGAAGAAAAAGTGTGCGCATAAGGCAGTCCAGCCTGAACCATGGGGAAGGGTCGTGACAAGCGCAAGAAGCACGAAGACCCTGCGAAAGCGGTGAAACGTGCTTGTCGCCAGACCCAGAAGTGTGCTAAGGGATTGAAGAGAGACGACGCCGATGATGACGCGGTCAAAGGCTTTAATAACGAGGAAAGCCTGGAAGTCACTTTGAGCCGCATCCGCAAGCAGGAGCGTAAAATGCGCACTACGTTGGTGGAGGAAAATGCGGCTTCACCGAGTCCACGTGCGAATGTCGTCTTTACACCTCACCCTGAACGGGATCAGGAACTGATGCTTTTTGGTGGAGAGTTTTGGAACGGTGAGAAGACGGTGGCCTACAATGATCTATATTTTTATAGCATTAGGCGCAATGCCTGGTCACGTCTCGTGACGGCGGTGAATCCGCCCCCACGAAGCAGCAGCCAGGGTGTTGTGTACAAAAATTTTCTGCTTGTTTTTGGTGGGGAATTTGTCTCTCAGTCGCAGTCGCAATTTCTGCACTTTAAAGACGTCTGGCGTTTTGACGCCAAGAAATATGAATGGGAGGAACTTGCCGCCCTTAAAGGGGGTCCATCCTCACGCAGTGGTCATCGCATGTGTCTCTGGCGTCGTAGTGCAGTTGTTTTTGGTGGTTTCTACGATAACGCCCAAGAATGTCACTATTTTAATGATCTTTGGATCCTATCACACTTGGATGGGGCAGGAAGGTGGACGGCAGTGAAAACTCCGCCGTACGGGGAGCTGCCTCACCCACGTAGTGGGCATTCAATGGCCGTATGCAATGACACACTCTTTGTCTATGGGGGTTTCTCCACTGAGAAGTTTAATCGATTTAAAAAGTCGCAAGCAACTGTGCACCATGATCTTTGGAGTATCAAGTTGCCACAGTCCAGCAATGCCGGCGATAGCACCAACGTGGAGGGTGAAGTTGCGATTTGGACGAAAATACGCCTGGGCGGTATTCCCCCGCCAATCCGCTGTGGCGTAGGCAGTGCGTTTAAGGACAATAAAATGTACCTTTTCGGTGGCGTGGTAGACATTGAGTCACCTGGTGGCAAAGTTGTGTCCACCTTCACCAGTGATTTATTTATATTTCACATGGATACAAAACGGTTTTACCCAATTGTTTTGCGCGCAAGGAAGAAGAAAACCGCCTTGGAGCCGAAGGGAGGGGACCTACAAGCCGAACTGAAGGCTCTTCAGCTACAACACCTGGCAGTTGATTCCACGTCCTCGACTGCGGAGAGCGACGACGACAGTGATGAGGATGAGGATGAAGAGAGTCGTGGGAGCGCCCAAATGGAGGGCAAGAGTGAGATGAAGGAGAGTTTTGAGGTCAATAAACGAGGCCAGATTTATCCACACCGTCGTATGAACGCTTCTATGCTTATTATAGGGAATACTCTGTACATTTTCGGGGGTCAGTTTGAGAGTGGTTCCCGGGAAACTACAATGTCAGACCTTTTCGCACTCAACCTTAATACATGTGACACGTACCGCGTGCTCCTTGCACAGGACCTTTCAAGTTTGGTGTGGCTAGGTAAAGATGCGGAGGCAAGTGATGCTGTTTCGTGGGAAAGTGGCAGTACTGTTGTCAGTGCTGCATTTGACCTCGATTACGATGAAGACGACGATGCGGATGTGGACTGCGCCGGAGAAGCAGCTGTGGACGGCGGCGTGGACTTTGCCCGCATCCCGCGAGCACTGGAGGACGGCGACAACGATGATGAGCCACCGCAGGTTGTCCCTGCGGAGCTCGACGCCGCCGTCACCCCTTCACTCGACGTTGTGGACGGCATCACAAAGGTAAAAGGCAAGAAGGGCCTCAAGGTACACAAGGAGCAGCTCCTTGCTCAGCTTGGCAGTGGCTCTGCTGTACCAACCCCGCTAAGGGATGAGAGCCCGGCCGCTTTTTTTGAACGGACAACCACCTTTTGGGTGTCAATGGCAACTGAGTCCTTTGAGGATGCCAAGTCAAAGCAGCGGCAGTCGGAGAAGCAGATCCATAAGCAGGCGAAGGGGTTTGCTTACCGTCGCTACCATGAGGCAAACCGATTGCTTGCACAGCTGCGGCTTGTGCAGGAACGTGAAGAGGAGGAGGTGCGATTCTTTAAAGAGCGCCGAGAGCAGAAGGAAAAAGAGTGGGAAGCACACGAGCGGCAACTTGCAGACGAGGATGAGGACGACGACAATGAGTACAAGAAGACAGAAGATAAAGGCGAATAGCGAAAAATCTGCAAGGAGTTTTTTTTGTCTGTTTTTGGCCTCTTTCTAACTAAGGAAAATAGCTATTTAATATTTATCTTTATAGTTATACATAATCCCAACAAATATAGGCTCCTTCAGACCCTTTCTGTTTCGGAAGCACAACGGAATGTCTCCTTGCGTGCGCGAGTGCCTTGTGAAGGTGCTTTTGTGGCCATTTTCAATGTGTGCCTTGACCTTTTTTTCTTATTTATTTCATTAATGTTTTATTATTATTGTTTGTGTTTCCTTCCGCCGCGCATCATAAAAGGCAACGTGGCAGGAGATGGTCGGTACGGCCATTACTCTGGAAGCCGTCGACGAGGCACTCGAGGCAAATCGTCGACTTCAGGCTGAGTTGCAGCAGAAGTGGCGGCAGTTGCGTGGGGCACAAAGTCGCATCGCGGATCTTCTATTGGCATTATGTAAGTCGCTGCACACCTCCAAAGTCCGGGGGCGTGTAGTCATGAAACGCGACCGGGTCAACGCGGCGACGGCGACGGCGTATTTTGACACCTACCTGCGTTCTACCAAGGAATGTTCACCGTTTCGGGTTGCCGGCTTCTATGCTGAGCGTGGCTGTCTACGGTATGCGTCGCTTCCCCTGGCGCCGGATGAGGTGAGGTGGAACGAGGCCAAAGAGGCGTTTCCGCCGCCGTTCGCTCCTCTCTTATTGACGACAAAACAGGACTTATCACCCGAAAAAATGGCGGAACGGGCCTGGAGTAAAGAGGAAGACGAAGCACTCATAGCGGCTGTGCGTGGTTACGCAGGAAACCCCTGTGGTGCAAACTTCTGGAAGGCGTTGGCCGTATCTGGCTGTTCGCGCTTTGAAATTGCTAGCAGGTATGTTGCACTGAAAGGTATCAGAAGGATAAACTTTGTGGCGCCACATCGGGCCGCTTTTCAGCTGAGCGACGAAGAAAGGACAGCTGCGGTTAAAGAGGCTGTTCGCTGCCATGTAGGAGATGGTGCGGAGACGTTTGCCGCCTTCTCGGAGTTTCTCGCGGCGGCCGCACGGCGTCGTGCGTGCATGGCGGAAGTAGCAGGAGAGGCGGTCAATCCGTTTCCCCCATATGTATGGGAGCTTCGCCACAATTTTAACCGATTAGCCGAGCCCTTTGTGCAGGAGGCAAGTCGCTCTGTTGCGCACCTTGCGGTGCGGGGTGGTAGTGGCGCAACGCTGTCGCAGCGCGACGAGGAGCAGAACGACACAACGCCGTCCCTTGTCGATTGCGCAGCTTGTCTTTTGGCGTTTAAAGCGAAACTTTTTGGAAAGAGCAGCCTGCTGTGGGAAATCGTACGAATTTTCTTGCCAGGGTGCGGGAACGATTTACCAAGTGGGTGGCACAAAATGCAGCTCTCAGTGCTGGAGGAGAGTCTACAAAAGCAACAACAAACGAAATAAAAACAGCAATGACAATAAAAATCCACAGAGCGTGAAGAGCATGAGTGTGTTTCGCGGCGAATGAGAGGGAGGAGTGAAGCATAAATGGAGACTGCGTATTGTTGTTGTTGTTTTTCTTTTTTTTTTCGTTTTTCTTCGTCTTTGGTTTCTACTCCCGGCTTTTTCTTTTTGTCGGTGCTCGTGGGACGCTGCAGCTATGCGTATTTTGTTATTGCCTTTTTTTGTACATAATCTGCGTGCGGGGCCCCACCTGGGCGGTGTTTGAGTATGTTTTTTTTCTTTCCTATCATTCATGTTTGTGGCTTTTTCTTTTTGCTTCTTCGTACCCTGCGTAAATTGTGATGCCATGATATTTATATTGCATTGCACTTGTTGCTATAAACAAAAAAAAATATCTTATTTGCAGTTGCAGTGCTGTGAGATTGGATTAATGGACAGCAACAAAATGGAGGTTGCGGTGGAGCTCGAGCTGTGCATCCTCCGCGCTGTCTCTTCGAAGGACTACCAGTGCGTGGTGGAACGCAATTGCGGGATGGATGGGAACTCTGTGCGCCTGTTGCAGGCTATCATGCAGCAGAGCAAGCTGGTGCAGTTGGGGCAGACAATACCGGCATGCGATATTTTTCCGGCTGCTCTCACTGTGGTTGACTTGGCCCCGGCCACCGCTGGAGTGTTGTGTGATGTCACGACTCTGATTGTGCTCCCACCAACACGCGATGGCGAGCTTGAGGAGGTGTGTGAAACCGCACGCACAATCGAATGCAACTCCAAGGAAGCTGGCGGTAATGGTGAGGATCGAGGGTGAGGACGAAGATGATCTCTGCGTCGTCTTGTTGGATGATTCCTTGACTGGCTCCGTCGCGGAGTCGTCAGAGAGGTTCTTCCTGCGCACCCTACTGATGGACGGTGCAGTGGTGTGCGTTGGCGACGAAGAATACACGACTACCTTCGCCATTCGCATGAGGCGGCGGGGAGAGGAGCCGCTTGGAACTGCCCCTGCGCTTTACGCGGCGCCAGATGTTTTTCGTAACATCCGCGCTTCCATCCTTCTTGACCCGCTGCCGCCTCTTGGGACAACTTCTATGCGGTACAGCGATTGGCGAATGAAGGTTCCCTTCTCCGCATTTCGCCCTGTGCTGGACTCAGGGTGCGTGCCGCTCACGCTGGTGTTGCCGCGGCAAGGGTGTGATGAGTTGCAACTCAGTGGTGTTGTTGTTGCGCCTGCGTGGCCTCCCTTCATGCTGGCCGCATTTTTTGGGGACACCTATGAGCAAATTTTAACGCTTGCCTTGCGTGCCTCCAAGGAACAGCTTAGCGGCAGAATAGTCTCTGAGGGTGACGTTCTCGTCCTCCGCGTTACATGCCACCTCTTCTTTGAGAGCCAGTTGGTTTGCACCGACGTCGCCGAGGCTGTGCTGACGCACGTCGCACATCTTGCACAGAGCGGCGACGCGGAAACGGCGACGAGATCGTTGATGCACAATGACGGCATCATTGCGATTCCACTTCGCGTTGTTGAAGTGACGACATCTTCTGGTAGACCTTTCGGGTGGCTTGACCTGAATGGTGGTGAGACGGAGGTCGTTTTATCGCTTCACAGCACGGCACCTTGCGCCGATGTGACTCCGCTATTTCCGCCATTGCGTCAAAATGAAAGCTTCTATTTAAGGTTCTCTCTGACTGTGGCTATCGTTGATGCATTGGGCTCTGTCTTCTCACCATCGCACTCTGCTGGGACACATGTCTTTGTGGTGCATGCACTTCCAGAGAATTTCCCATATGAAAGCATTACAACGGCGTTGGCCGTGCATGGTGTGGGGGCGCTCATCGTTGACCTTGATCGCCGGCAACGGGATGAAATGCAGCATCTCAGTTCGGAGTACATGCAGAGTATGGGGGAGGTGGCACTTGTGGTCAAGAATGCGCAGCTCCTGTCTGAGCATCCCCAATTGCTGCACTTGTTTGATACAGATGACAATGAAGCTGCTACTACTACTGCCCGGGTTGGAGTGCGTGTCGTGTTTCTCGTCTGTGAGAGCACGGAGGCGCCACCGCCGACAGTGGCGGCCAGAGCCAGAAATGTGGGTGGTGTGTTGAAAGGTACTAATCCGTGTGACGCTGATCGTCGCCTTATTTTGGAAACCCTGTTTCAGGAGGCCCAACGTTCCTTTGGCATCTGTAAGAGTCTGTTATTGTCGTTTGATGCCATGGCAGCGTGGACGGTTGGACTGAGTGGTGCCGACGTGGTGGCGTACATGCAGGAGTGCCTCTCACTGCTGAGGTCCATGCGGTTGCCCGAGGGGGTTAGGCCGGTTCTTTCGGAATCTTTGTCCGGGAGTGTGCTGCAAACGTACCAAAAGGCTCACGGACACAACCTCGTCTCGACCAAACTGCAGCCAGTGCGTTGGAAGGATGTGGGTGGCTTAGAGGAGGCAAAGCGGGAGCTGCGGGAAACGATTCAATTGCCCCTTTTGCATCCTGATCTCTTTTCTAACGGCACAAAACGGCGGGCAGGTATTCTTTTTTACGGTCCACCAGGCTGCGGCAAGACACTCTTGGCAAAGGCTGTGGCCACGGAGATGAATATGAATTTCATGGCCGTGAAAGGGCCAGAACTGATCAACCAATACGTGGGCGAGAGCGAAAAGAACATACGTCTACTTTTTCAACGTGCACGGGACAACTCGCCCTGCATCATCTTCTTCGACGAACTTGACGCACTGGCGCCAGCACGTGGCGCGAAAGGCGACGCTGGCGGGGCGATGGACCGTGTAGTTGCGCAGCTGCTTGTCGAGGTGGACGGTGTGGGCCACACACGCACCGACGGCACCACCGCCGCGCAGGTTTTCATCATTGGCGCCACAAATCGCCCCGACCTGCTGGACCCGTCGCTGTTGCGCCCCGGCCGCTTTGACAGACTGTGTTATCTGGGTCTTCCTGCGACACGGGAGGAGCAGCTTGTCGCCCTCCGCGCGCTCACGCGGAAGTTTGACCTCGCCGATGACGTGGACTTTAACGCACTCCTTGAGCCCCTCGGACTTGAGTACACCGGCGCTGACTTCTTTGCGCTTTGCTCCGACGCCATGATGTTTGCCGTGGAGGCTGTGCTGGAGAACATTGTTGCGGAGGAGGGCGAACCCGCACCCGCAGCGGCTAACGGTGCCGAAGAAGCGCCGCGTCTTGTCGTTCAGATGCGTGACTTTGTGCGGGCGCGCGACCAACTCAAGCCGTCCGTGTCGGAGCACGACCTCAAGCGCTACGAGAGCCTTCAGTCGAAGTTTACCGCCTGGTGAACGCGCGTGCGGGACACACACGTTGGGAGATAGGGGGAAAGCGCAAAAAAAAAAATGGGCAGAGCGAGCAGTCGGCGAGCGCATCGGTTGTACCGGTAAGCCTGAGCAGTGTGGGAGGAGGGGGACCGGGAAGAAGAACAAGAAAAAACTAGCGGGATAAAAGACATTTAAAAGAAAAAAGGATTAAAGGTAATATAGCAGACATACGCACGCAAATTCAATGGAAAAAACGGCACAGAAGATTTCGCTCCTGTCGTTGTATCATTTATTTCCCACAGACACCTATGTTGTGAATATATATATATATATATGCGTCTCTGGACTCACTTCCCTTTTGTTTCTTCGTTGCTTGGGTGTATTATATTTGTTCTTTTGCCTTTTTCTTTCCCCCTTTCTTTTTGTCCTTGACTACTTTGAACGCAGCTGTCGGTCATTGCTGGCAGTTGGGCAACGCCGAGCAGAGGTAGTGCAGGTGGGGTAATTAACATGCCACTTGTTAAGCCTCTCTATTCCGAAGAGAAGCGACGTCTTGAGCCCTCGGTGTTGGCATGCATCCATGAACACGTGGAACACGAGGAATATTTGGGAACCCCATCTTCGTTGAAGCGTCAGATGTCTATGAAAGAACTGTTATTTCTGCTTTCGATGTCATTTAGTTACGCGTTGTGCTTTAACACGCTGAACAATATAGTGATTCCAAAATCCGTTGGCCGCTTTGGTGACAATAAGCAAAGTCTCTGGCTGGGTTTGCTCATGGTGCTTGGGGCATTCTGTCAGATGTCAGCGCCACTTGTTGGGGCATACAGTGACCGTGTGGGCAGCCGAGCTCCTTTTTTAGTGTGCGGTTCCGCTGTGACAGTTATGGGGCTTTTTATGTTTATTATTGTGGAACTGACGGATAGGTTGATAATACTTTGCCTTGCGCAGGTAATCTCAACCGTGGGCCTCTCTGTCGTTTATAGTATGGTGATGGCGTTGCTAACCGACTACGTTCTTGAGGAGCAGACTGGAAAAGGAAGTGGGGCAATGGCTCTTCTTGCCCTCACCGGTAGCGGTGTGGGGTATGCCATGTTGGCGGTGGATGTGCCAGTCACGTACTGCCTCTGTAGTTACGTGGTTGTCACGCTCCTTTGCTTGGCACTGACGTTGAATTCCATTCCAATCGTAGAGACAATGCGACAGACACAACAGCCTGTCCGTTTTTGCGACACGTTGACGGTGGCATTCACGATGCCTTCCTTTCGCATATTCCCCGATTTTTTTCTTGCGTGTCTAGGGCGGGCGTTGTTTAACAGTGGACTGGCGTCGCAGGTATACCTTGTTTTCTTTCTGCGGGATGTTTTTCTGTCGAAGAACCCCGTACGCATTACTTCAGCCTTGTCGATCGCGGCACTAGCGGGTGGGTTTTTGGGCGCCATTCCTAGCGGCGTCTTCTCTGACCGCATTGGGCGGAAGCCTGTTGTCTACGCCGCTCTTTTTTTGTGTGCCATGTCGCTTGTACTTCTTCTGCTTCTGCGTGACATAAAATTCCTTTACGCGGTGGGATTTCTGCACGGCTTTGGCAGTGCCTCTTACCTTTCCGTGGACCACGCACTCGGCATCTTGACGCTCCCGCGTAAGTGTGGTTTTCCCATCGATGCCGCGAAGGACCTGGGCCTCTTCGCCACGAGTGCAACCTTCGGGACACTTGTGGGCCAGGTGGCGTACGGCACCCTGCTCCAGGCCTTCGTGGGGTACACCGAGGCTGGGGCGGTGCGATATAGCTACTTTGGGTTTCTTGTGATCTTTACTCTTGCGGCTGTTGCGTTCGTACTGAGTGGCACTACCGTGGTATTCATTCGCGTTAAGTGAGACACCGAGGGTGAACGCTCAATGGGGAGCAAACTGACCTACGCGAGGAGCGGAGTAGCCGACAACAAGAAGAAGAAAATAATACATAAAAGTGAAAAAAACACATATACACACACACACACGCACACACATAGAGAGAAAAGGGTGAATGCTTGGGGCTTGAGGTCGAATCATTTGCGCCGTGTGCCGGTGGGTGTGTTTTCTTTTTCAGGCACATGGCAGCCAGTGAAAGCGTACTTCTAGATGCACATCTCTCTGTGTGTGCGTGTGAATTTTCCAAGCGAAGGAATGTTCTTGTTTTTCTTTTCCCATTCATTTGACTGCATGTTTGTGCTGTGCTGCCGCCTTCGCTCTGTTAGTGTGTTTTTGGTTTGCTATGTCATTGTCATTGTCATTCTTGTTGTTGTTGTTGTTTTGTGCCACATCGCCCCGACTTCTGTCCTACTTGTTTTTTTATAAAGTTAGTATTACCATTTACTGCTTTACTTCGTGCTTTCGTGTGCGTTGCCGCCTGCTGCTAGGGATGTCGTCCTCTGAGCTTGCGGTGAAGCGGCTGCGGCGGCAGTGGGAGCCGGATGAAAAGGCGTGGAACGACGAAGCGTTAGAGGTGCCATGGGAGGAAATGACGCCCCCGCTGCACAAGTCAACCATCTTTGCACTTCGGAATGTCTTCTTTTTCTCCCACGCCACGTCGGTGCAGACGCGCGCCATTGACGTTTTCCGCACATCTGGCAACAGTGCTGTGGTGGAGGCGCCAACAGGCAGTGGGAAGACGCTTGCCTTGCTGATACCCATGATGGAGCGCACTGTGCGGGCGTGTGACGCGTACGTGGCCGAGCACGGCCGTCCGCTTCTCCGTCGCGACGTTATCGGCATCATCGTCTCCCCCTCACGCGTCTTGGCGGAGCAGACCTTTGTCGTCGGACGCAACCTTGCCTCCCGCTACCCACACACGATACGCTTCGTCCTCTGCGACGGGGCAATACAGCCCGTCGGCGCCGTCCTAAACGGGCTACAGAAGGCGGCGCGTGGTGCGGGGACGTTTTTGGTGACGACACCGCACGACTTGACTGCGTTTATTGCGGCATGGGAGCGGGGCCGTGCCTCCGCCGAGGCAGCGGATGACGTGCAGGAATTGCTGGCTGCGCAGGATGAGGAGACACGGCGGCGTTACTACGAGAAGCACGGCGGCAAAACGTCGTCTGGCGCTGACACGGGGAATGCAGTGCAGCTGCGCGGGTGCCACCGTGAGCGGTTTGTGTTTGCGGTGGATGAGGCGGACTTCGTGTTTCACGCCTCTGAGATGCGAGACATTGTCACTCGGTTTATCGACACACACGCCTGGCGGGAGGAGCCGCCCGCAAAGCGGCGCAAACCGCTTCATGCCACATCCGCCTCACTCGACCGGATCGCGATGGATGTGGCGTTCGTCGGTGCGACGGTCTCCACCTCACGGGAGCTGCAGGAGTACGCCGCCCACGTCAACGCCGCACTTGGGACGACGATGCACACCGTGGTGCTGAACAGTTCGCAAAACTTCGTCACCCAGCTGCAAAACCGCTACGTGGTGTGCGAGGTGCACGAGTTTCTGCCTCTTTTGATCCAACTGATGAATCTGCATGCATCGCGGAAGCACTTTATTTTTTTCAACAGCGCCAAAACGCTACGATTTGTGGAAAAGCTGTTCGCTGCACTGATGAACAGCGAGTCTCGCCTGCTGTACATCAAGCACACCTTCGTGATGTACGAGGGCATGAGTGAGCGGACGCGGCTCGAACAGTACAACGCCTTCCTTAACCACAAGACAAATACGCAGGAATCCGCAAAAAACAAGTCGCAAGCCTCGGCTCCCTCCGCAGCAGAGAAGAAGAATCAAGTTTATAGCAGTGGCTGGAAACGCGACGGACGGCCTCCGGATGGAAAAGGTGCCATTCTCCTTTGCACAGACATGGCTGCATTTGGGTTGGACGTGCGTGATGTGGACTACGTGTACCACTTTGAACCCCCAGCCACTGTGCAGTCCTACGTGCACCGCATTGGTCGTGTCGGGCGTATGGGAATGCGTGGCAGTAGTATTCTGCTCTTGCCATGTTTTAGCAATGAAAATGCATTGGCCTCTGCACGAGAGCGCAAGACGACGAGTACCCGCTTCAACACCGTTACCAACACAAAGTTCTCAACCGCTGAGCTGCAGAGTGTGCGTATGACAGCGGAGGATCTTACAGAGGAGCAAAGCGGCTACTTGGGCGAATTGTGTGAACGCAGCGAATTACAGTCGTATTCACTGCCTCCTTTTGCGCCCATAACCTCAACCATTCGAAATATCATCTCCCAACAAAAAAAACTTCTGAAGTTGGCACAAATTGCCGCCATTTCCATGTGCACCGTGCCGCAGGATGCAGAGAATGCAAAAGCCTGGTTTGACCCCAAATTGGCACTTCACGCTCTTCTACTCGATTAACATTTACAAGGCGAATGTGAAAGATGTGTAATTCCACACGTATAACTGCGGTTTGCTAAGTTCAGAGGACAATAATTTGGGACGCTGTGACGATGAAGAGCGGTCTAGCCATTGCGTCCCCATTCCCTGTCCTAAAGAGCTCTCCTCTGTCTCTGTCTTCGTGGCGCGCACTTTTGTTGGGGTTGTTGTTGAACGGTTTTTATGTTTTTATTATCACCCCTTTCCCCTTCTTTCCCCGTTTTTTTTCCTTTCTGTGCGTTTGCCTACTCGCACAACTTCCGCAGCCGTAATAGTCTACTGGAGGCCGCGTTCTTCGCTGTGGGATGTACAGTTATAACAACATCATCGATAAGGGCGAGCCCAGTAACAAGGAGGTGATTGACCGTGTACCTCTTTGCCTTGAGCCAGCTGGCATCGTGTCGCAGCATCGCGTGGATGACCGGGTGGATGTTGTGGTTGTGGAAAATTTCTTGTCCAGCGCGGAGTGCGACGAGCTCGTTGCCGCCTGCGAGAAGGTGGGCTACACCTTCTGGCGGCAGAAGGACGCCAACGCCATCTGTGACGAGGGGAAGTGCGGCGGAGAAAAGGAGGCACGCGCTTTTCGTGTGGTGGACACCATTGAAGCAACTTTCCCGCAGTTGTCACAGGCGCTCTCGGAGCGCATTCAAAAGGTGGTGCATTTGGAGCCAAAGACCTTTGATTCATCCGCGACGGGCTCAGCGGACATGTTTTCCCGTGACCTTGAGGGCACCTGGGTGCCGTTGACCCTCTCGAGCAACCTGCTGCTCGGTAGGTATGGGCCTGGTGGACACTTCTCCCCGCACCTTGATGGGTCCACCGTGGTGGACCTGAATACGCGCTCTCTCTACACGCTACTCATCTACCTGAACACCTGCGAGCGCGGCGGGGAAACGGTGATGTTTACGGGAGAACAGGCGGACCTCCTCGAGCTGGACGCAAAAACCGGCAAGTACACTGGTAAAGAGGTAAACCGCGTTGGGGCGGTTTGCCCCAAAAAGGGTTCCGCCGTATTCTTTTTCTGCGACGTCCTTCACGAAGCTTTACCGGTGGGGAAGGGAGGTAGCAAGTACATCATCCGTGGCGATTTCCTCTACCGTCGTGAACCACCGATTTTGACGGCGGAGAATGACAAGAGGGCCTTTGAGCTTTACGAGCAGGCACGTGTGGCGGAGAGTGGTGGAAATGCCATGTTGGCCTGCGAACTTTTTCAACGTGTGCGTAAGTTGTCAAAAGGGGTAGCGGAACTCTACCAACTATAACTTCTTAAATGAAGCTTGGGGGTGCGTTAATGGTTTTATCGCTTGTTCTCTTGTGATTAATACTTATAGCTGCCTGTTCCCCCATCAAACGAAGGTAAAGTGAGGCGGATAGATGTACGCCACGAAGTAACTGGAAGCGCGGTCTGTGAGAGGCGTGACGCGAAAGAGGAGAGTGTGCGTTGACTGCTCGCTTTCTCCTTTTATTATTTTTATTTTTTTGTTTCTGTTTTTTCCTTCTCTCAACCAGGGCGTTGGTGTCCGTATTGCTGCGTACGTCGCTGCGGTCGATGCCCTCGCAGCAGTTCGCCGAGGAGTATGACTCACACGAGTCGCTGCAGGATCAATACTTTGACGCCTACGCCGACCTTGGCGTGCACCGCGTCATGCTCGCGGATGCGCCTCGCATGTCGTTTTACCGTCAGATACTCACTTGCGAGGCGGTCGTCCGGGACCGCGTAGTGGTGGATGTGGGCTCGGGGACAGGCGTCCTCTCCATTTGGGCGGGCCGTGGAGGGGCAAGGCATGTTTTTTCTATTGAGGCCTCGTCGCTGAGCTTGGCCCAGGCGCAGGTCATTGACGATAATAAGCTTTCGGATAAAATCACGTTGCTCTCGGAGACGGTGGAAGATATCGTTGCAGAAGGGGTTGCAAGTTTTATTGCGACGCACGAGGCGTTGTTGCGGGGGTGCGGAGTGTCGTTGATTGTATCAGAATGGATGGGGTTTTACCTTCTACATGAGGGCATGCTGCCGTCCGTCATCCGTGCGAGGAACTTCTTTGCGGAGGTCAATGCAAAACTGGGGATTCTCTGCCCGATAGAGATGGTTCCTGAGCGGGCAACCATACGGGTGGCGCCCATAAACTGCGCCGCGTACTATGAGGAGCGCTACCGCAAGTTCTGGGGCGGCGTCGAAGGCGTCGATCTTAGCCGCTACGGCAAAATGGAATTTGAGACCCAACTGGAGGCAACCAATCCGCTCATTGACACAGTGCCGTCCGCATGCCTGTTGCACGAAGGTGCGACGGTGGCGGAGCTGGAGCTCACCTCTCTCCCGGAGGACGCGGTGAAATCACTGTGCCGTGTCATTCATTTCAACCTTTGCGATTCCGCGGCGTTCCGACGGCACTTTGGCGCCACCCAGCCAGCCTCGGTGGCCGTGGACGGTTTCACGGTGTGGTTTGAGGTGCACTTCCGTGCGTGGAGCCTGAACACCTCGCCGTGCTGCCCTCCCACGCACTGGAAGCAGACAACTATTTTACTGCCAGCCACAGCGCGGGCGGAGCAGCTCGTGGCCTTTACGTCTCCCGAAGCCACGCTTGATGTCGAGCTGCGGCTCTTGGCGACAGATGCCGCATTGCGCTGTTACAGCATTGAGTTTGAGCTAAAGTAAAACACACATGAGAAAAAAAGTAATAATAAGAGGGGGAAAAAAACAAAAAAACACACACACGGGCCCGTTTTTCCTGCGGTGTGCACGACGTGTCGTTCTTGTTCTTCACTATCCGCCGCTGAGGAGTATGCCCGACGGTTCCTCTCATTTTTACTTTGCTCTCTTTTCTTTTTGCCACCTTCCCCCCTCTTGTTGTTGTTATTTTTTGCTTCCTATTGTCATAAACCGACGCGAATAAGCAGAAGAGCACGGGCGCTGATGTCGACGGGTGAGCTCTCTGCGGAGGCCGCCGCCTACTTCGAGGAAAAACACATCAATTCCCTGCTGGAGGAATTGTTCCACGATGTTGTGATGCATCTCCCTGATGACCCCCTGCAGTTCCTGCTGCATGCGCTCGACGGAAAGACAACCCTGCGGCTCCTAGTGCTGGGACCGTCCGGCTGCGGCAAGCGCACGCAGTCCCGACGCATCGCCCAAAAGTACGGTGCCGTCGTCGTCAATGCTGACGATGTCTTTCGTGAGGAGATGTCAAGAAAAACAGAAGCGGGCGAAAAACTAGCGAGCTGCATGCGGGATGGCTTACCGATTCCTAGTGACATTGCGTCCGAGCTTATTATACGTCGACTGCAGGAGGAGGATACCCGTAGCAAGGGATGGGTGCTTAACGGCTTTCCACAAACGCGATCCCAGGCACTTCGTCTGCAAGAAGCAGGGATTTCGCCACTTCTCTTTATTCTGCTGGATGTTTCTTCTGAGGTGGCGGTGCGGCGGTGCGACGGACGCCGATATGACCCCGTCACACAGAACGTTTACCACATGGAGTTCGCCCCTCCTCCACGTGGAATGCCTGTGGAGCGCATGTCCGAGGACGACGGCTCCCTCGCAGCAGTGGCGAGCCGGTGGAAGTACTTTGATGCAAGGAAGAACGAACTCATCGAGTGCTACGAGCCTGTTTTTGTTCGCATCGACGGGGATCGCCCTGTGGATGTTGTGTCGCAGGAAATCTGCGAGCAGGTGGATGCTCGATATGTCGCGGTGTAAGACACAGTTAGCGGGCGCGCGGGAAGAGAAGCAAACACCGCCGGTGACATCGTTTTTGCTCTCGCATGAGGGCACGTAATAGATGTACAAGGTATGTACGCGGCACGATCAGGAGCCCCACAAGGGAGGGGAAGGAAGGAGGAATTGGGAGTTTATTAGAAGAAGTGGAGAGCGACCTCCTCGCCGTTTGCGGAAGGAGGTTGTGCCTGCGGCGTTGTTCGCCGTCACTACCAAAGCTTGTTGCGTGTTTTATGTCGCTCCAGGTGGATCGTTTTTGTCTGCTTGCTAAGGTTTTCACTTTTTGTCCGCGCCTTGTCTCGGGCTTTCCCCTTTCTTCCTTCCCTTTGTGGTTATTGTGTGTGTGTGTGTGTGTGTTGTTTCCGCTGCTGCTCACCAATGCAAGGAGGCGTGGGCCGCGGGAGGGTGGTGACTGGGTCTTGTGGAGGGGCTAGAGCGAACAGCTGCGACTCGCGACGCAAAGTCGCTAAAGGGAAAGAGAGGGCGAAGGAAAGAGTGAGAAATGCTCTCGCCGACGGCGCTGCTGCAGCGCTATCGGCTTTTTCACCCTCGCCGGGAGAACATTCCGTTCCATATGAACCCGGCAAAGTCGATGTTCCCGCTCATCAACAGCAGCAACCTCTTAGCAAAGCCACGGAATAGTTGGCAAGACTTTGCTGGAAGAAAAGAGTTTGATGAGGATCATCCACTCCCAGTTGTTGCCTCGCGACTGAATGAGCGGACAACCCAGCATAAGTGGTCTCACTGGGATCAGTACCTCAATCCACAGATCACGCTGTCTGCAAGGGATTTGACGCCAACACCGGAATACGTGGGCAGGCGCAGCGGGCATAACGTGATTAGGATGGGATGGATGAAAATAGGAGGGAGCTGGAAGTACTCCCGCGGGTACAACGATAGGCGCAACGTGTTTGCCCGCGGTCAGTGGCAGGAGCGCAAGATGACGCCGCGGTTTATGCTCGCCCCTCGAGTTTCAGCAGGTGGACCACGAAACCGTTATGAGGGAAAGCTGGTGTTTTCCCGCCTCAAGCTCAGTAAGCTCCTCTGGGCTATCGATACGGGTCGCCTCAACCCCAATGAGGTCATCACAGTCTATCATCTGCGCGAAGCCGGGGTTGTGGCTGAGGGCGAGATTGTTTGGCCAGGATTTGTGCTTGTTAGCAGTGGCGTGAGCCGTGTGCCGTATCCCCTTCACATTGAGCTTCAAAATGCATCGGCCGAAAGTATTCGGCTTATTGAAGAAGCCGGTGGGTCCTTTACTGGGGTGTACATGACTCATGACGGCCTCTACCAGGAGATTCACCCGGAGGAGTACCCCATCTTCCCTGAGCAGGAGTTGCCGGATCGGAAGGGCCTAGAGGGCCTCGCAACAAACCCCGGCAAACGTGGCTGGCTTGTTCGCTGGTACGAGGACGAGGGTAAGTACGCGCATCCTGAGGCAGGGCGGCGCTACTCACACTACGTCCGACCACCAACCGAGCGCGACTTTCCAGCCACAGTTGAGGAGTACGAAATGGTGAAGCATCATCAGAAGTGGCATCTGAATCAGCCAGGAACTGGAACACTGCTGCCGTGGCACTCCTACAACACGGCGGACCTCTTGAAAAGATCCACGGGACGTCTTTAAATCTGAAAACACATCGAGGAGAATAAAACCGCGGTACACGCGCTCGCAGGAAAGAACAAGGGGGAATGGGGAAAAAATGGGGAGAAAAAGAGAGATTATATATAGAGAGAGGGAGAAGGGGAGTTTTTCCTTTCTGCTCTGGTTTTGTTTTCCATTTGCGCCTGTCGTTTTACTTTTACGTACAAACCGCGTTGAGCAAGAAGGTGGAAGGATCAAACTATTCGTCATGGGGCTATTGTTGCTCGTGTTTTTCCTTTTTGTTTCTGGGACGACTGCCTGTGATGACCTTTTCTATTATTGTTATTATTATTGCATTTTTTTCATTCGCTCCTTTATTCAATGCACTTGTGATCCTCGATGTTTGTGTATATACCACATAAATATATATTGATTTATTTATTTACACTTACACCACATTTCGTCTCCTGTAGGACGCACTCACGCCCGCACCGCCAGAAAGGCCAGCGGTGTCATTGCGGGGGCGACAACGACAAGAGGGGTGTCTGTCTGCGTGTGAGGAGGAGGAAGTGGAGTTGAGGGGGCAATGGCGGGGGTGTCGTTGACGTCTCACGAGGGGTACCACGTGGGCGATGCGGTATATTTTAACCACCCAACAGAGTGCTGGGTTCGCGGGACGCTAACCACCATCATACGTGTGACTAAAAAAGATGGCTTCACACATGTGCTGTACGGATGCAGTGCCGTGGTGTCGGCGCGATATCTTCCGTCCCTGAGTGAGAACCCCTCCCTGGTGCATGTCTACCCGCTGCAACAGCAAGACGTCCATCACATTATTGAGTCATGCGTTGAGCCCACAGAGCACAACACCCTAAATGACCTCCTGGATCTCTCCTACCTGCACGACGCAACCCTACTGGAGCAGGTGCGTGTTCGATACTACGAAAACCTCATTTACACACACATTGGCCCCATCACACTCGCACTCAACCCATACGACTTCACCTTGCCCAACTACACCGATAATAACATGGCAAAGTATGTCATGGAGGGACCCAAGGTGATTGATGCCCCATCTAAAAACCTGCCGCACGCCTGGACAGTGGCGCATTACAGCTACTGGCGCATGTGTTCGGATAAGCGCAACCAAAGTGTTATTGTTAGCGGGGAAAGTGGTGCTGGCAAGACTGAAACGGCCAAAATTGTCGTGAAATACATTGGTGTTGTGTCTACCGCGCAGTGCAGTTTGCAGGAAAAGTCTGGCGCCGAGGAACTCACCCACAAGGTGAACCTCACCTCTCCCATACTCGAGGCATTTGGTAACGCAAAGACCAAGAAAAATGACAACAGTTCTCGATTTGGGAAGTTTATGAAAGTTTTCTTTAAGCAGTCCCCAACCGGTGGTGTGATGACGGGAGCCTCGATTACAGTGTACCTCCTTGAGCGCTCGCGTATTGTTACTCATAGCAAAGGTGAGCGAGGGTATCATAGCTTTTACCAATTACTTGCTAGCAATGGAGACGCAGTCAAAAATCGCCGCCTCAACAAGCTGCAGCTATCCTGCGCCGAGGATTACCGCTGCACCGCAGTGGGTAATGCGACGACGATTGAGGGAGTGAATGATGCCAAGGACTTTGAAGACGTGATGCGTGCAATGGAGTTTGTGGGCATGACTGAGGCGGAATGTAACGCCGTGTGGAACACTGTGGGAGCTGTTTTACATCTGTTGTCGTTGGAATTTAAGGCGCTAACGGATGACGAGTGCTGCGTGGACATGACGGCGCAGAACACCGCGGTTCACGTCCGCATGGCGAAGGAACTCCTTGGTTTGCCTGATGACACGTTTTTTAAGGAGCTTGTCACGACGACGCAGCTGACGCGCGGGGAAACGATTGTGCGGAAGCTGCGGGTAGCACAGGCCTTGGATTTGTGCGAGGGGATTGCAAAGGTGTTATATGAAGCACTCTTTTTGTGGCTTGTAGGACGCATCAACGAACTAATAAAATCCCCCTCCGAGGACGAACGCGAAGAAATGCCGTGGATTGGGCTACTTGACATCTTTGGCTTTGAAAACTTCTCGAATGGGAATTCATTTGAGCAACTTTGCATCAATTTGGCCAACGAGGCTCTGCAGAATCACTACAACAGCATTGTCTTCACGCGCGATATCGAGGAATGCCACAAGGAGGGAATTAACACGGAGGGTGTTGTGTTTTACGACAACCAGCCCTGTATGGATCTCATCTGTGGCGTGGACTTCTCCGGCTGTGGCCCGGGTGGGTCGTCCAGGACGACGAACAAGATGTCTATTCTGCACCTTCTCGACGAGGAGTCCTCGCTTGCGAAGGGAAGTGACTTGGCCTTTCGCGAAAAGGTCTGCGACGCGTACGGAGGACGCCTACTCGACGGCAAAGGCGGACACCCAAACTTTTTACGTGTCAAGACCGACCGCAGTTCTTTTGTCGTTAGGCACTATGCAGGGAATGTCACGTACAACGTGGAGGGATTTCGAGCCAAAAACTGCGATGCGACGAAGCAGACGCTCAAGGATGCCATATGCTCCAGTACAATTCCCTTTGTGGCATCCCTGCTTGACCGCAAAGCCTCCGGCGCCGGGATGGCCGGAAAAGCCACGGTGAGCGCCTTCTTTAAGAAGCAACTGGTGCAGCTTATGACGGAGCTCAACGGAACTCACCCACACTGGATACGATGCATCAAACCACACGTCTCAAAAAAGCCGCGGATGTTTAATGGCTGTGAAGTCATGACTCAGATGCGTTCCGCCGGAGTTCTTGAAACAATCAAAATTCGTCAAAACTCCTTCTCGGTTCGTCTACCTTTCGCAGATTTTCTACGGGCGCATAAAGTGCTTACGTTGGAGTTGCATCCCAGTGTACTCGCCTTTTGTCGTTCTCTCAGTGTGACCCTGGCAGGGTTTCAGGCACCGTTTCCCGCCAACGCCTCGGAGGGAGAGATGGTGCGGGAGATTCTGAGGCGTGCTGGCTCAGATTCAAATTCTCAAGGGCAAGTGGGGCGCACAAAAGTATTCCTCAGGATGGAGACCTCGCAGCACTTGGCTTCTATCGTGCGTACCGCGCAGAAAGGCTGTTTACTGATGATCCAAGCGGCTACCCGGTGGACTTCGTCATGTGGCACTGCCCACAGAAAATATCTTCGTCACCAACTTCAGCTTGTCGCCGCAGCTTTGCGCTCGATTTGTTCGCAGTTGTGGATGCGGCGGATGGAGTTACGTCAGAAGGAGAATTACTTTTTAACTGTCTTTCGATGGATTCTACTGGTTCAGAACGCGGAGGCAGAAAGGCGTAGCTGCTTGGAGGAAGAGGAGGGTACGACGCACTTGCTTTTATTGCACAGTGCGGATAAGGAAAGAGACGCCATCACGCATCTCTTGCTGAAGCGAAGAGAAGAAGAGGATGCTGCGATACAACGTGCGCTTATCATTATGGAGAGTGAAGCCCGCTGTGCCCTTGAAAAGGATGGCGTTGTCTCTCTGAAGTGTCTCTATGAGGCAATGGGATTAATTATACTTGAGGAGAATGCACGCGACGACCTGGAGCTGGAGGAGACAATGGAGCGGAGATCTACCCTTGAGCATGCGCAGAGGGAAATGAACAGACATTTGGCGCTGTGGTTTGTTCACGTGACGGAGAAGCAGCGATTGGAGTTACTAGAAACGGAGGGCGCACACCGCCGCAGAACGACAGAAGAAGAGAGCACAACATTTGCCCTCTTGTGTGGCTTGCACCGTCTCCTTTTATCGGAGACGATGGCCCGGGGTTTCCTTCTTGAGGAAGAGTCCGATGCCTTTTCTGACTGGCGTCAGGGCTGGGATAGTGAGTGGCTACGTATGGAAAAGCTTTGGCTGGCACGCAATTGCATCACCGGTCGCCGCATGATTCTGCTTTTGCAGAAAAGTGAAGTGGAGGCTAGACGAAGGGTGGAGTATTTGTACAACCACTCCGTTGTGGAGCTACTCGAGGCTGCTGTGCAGGGGGAGGCGCGCGCTCTAGAAAGCGAAAGGGAACGCCTGGCACTGGAGGAGGAGGAACGACGGCTGTTGGAAGAAGAGGCACACTTCATAGCGAATGAGGAAGAGCGTCGACGCTTCAACGCCATCCGAGAGGCCGCACAGCAACATTGGAGTAACTTGCTGGAAGAAGAACGACTTGTGAAGGAGATCAAACGAGTTGAGAAGGCGAACCAAACTATTCTCGCAGCCAAGGCAGAACTCACGCGTGAGTACACGCTACTCTGCCGGCGGAAGGAAATTGCAGGCGGGAGGTCGAGTCCCATGGCCAACAAATTTAGGGACATGAGGGAGCTTGAGGAGCACCGGCATCATCAGAAGGCCCTCTCGCATAAGCTTGCGACGAACCAAAAGTTACTGCTTGACATGGAAAGGAATTTAATGGTGTTTCGCTCCAAGACCTCGCTAAGGCCCCCTTCACGACAAACGCCCTCGTTGGTCCAGTCTACAAGTTCGCCCCAGCCGCGGGAAGATATCTCGCTTCACGCGTTGCAACACGTCTCTGTTAGCGGGGAGGGATCTTTGCACCTTATTCACCGCATGCATCTAATGAAGGGGCTCGCCAACAGCCGTGCGCGAGAGTCTAGCAGGATGCCTGGCGCATTGACTGCGGCGAACCGTCTGGAGGTGTACCGCAAATCTCGGGAAAGGAGGAAGCGTGAGGCATCGGCGGCACAGATAACAAAAACGAAGGCCCCGTCACCTTGCAGTGATTGCGCGGAGCGAGAAATGCGCACCCGCTTGACGTCAGCGCAGCGCCCTCCCCCAGTGGACTATTGTCTCCAGCGTAACCCTTTTGAGGACGACTGGGCTCCTGCCCCTCCTGACGCTGACGCGTTGTATTGGGTGTCTACACCACAAGGGGAACGGGTCCCATTGCTGCCTGTAGAGAAGTACAATTTCTCCGGCCCTCGGGACAATGACACGAATGGGTGTGGTTGTAGAGATTACCGCGATCCCTATTTATACTGCTTTGCTCGTTAGTTTACTTCTCTGTCTGTGTGTTTATTTTTTGTATTTTCGAGTTTATTGAGTATCAATATCGTATTCTATCGTGTAGGAAAAGCATCAATAACGCTCTGATGTTCAGGTTGTTTGCGGCGAGGGCTGACTTGTGTCATTGCCTTACTCCTCAAGTAACCTCCGTTTGTTTGCGGGCTCTTGTCGACAAGGCAACTGTGACGTGTAATTTTGTCATTGTTTTTGTTTTTCTTTCGCATTTGGCTTGGGCTGCTCGATCTCTGGTAGTACGACGGAGGCTCTGCCTTCTTCCTCTTCCGTAGTTTCTCTCTCGCGACCTTTTTTCTTGAATACACCGTGGTACATGCGGCACTTTCCGTGAGAACAGCAACGCTCTCGGCAGAGGGCTTTTTGCTTCTATAAAAAGGGGGCGACGCGCCCTCCCATGAGAAGATGACAGCGTCTCCGCCCCATACCCACCCACGCAAGGGTGAGGAACTGCGCACTGCAGGAGCGTGCGGCACTGCGTGGGTGACACCCCCATTTTCACCACGAAAATTAGAAGCAGATATGCGCCCCTTTTCGACACAAAACCGCGAATACCCACCTCGCTGGCCACCCATGGGATGGGCAGCCGCAACCATCCCTAACGTGGCACCCATACCGCACCGCAACTCCGCCCCGTGAGCGGGACCCGGCACTGCTCAAATCAACACTGCCACACGCAAGGAGGGAGAGTGAGCTACGGTGCACTCTCCCTCACCTTATGTCTCTCCTTTCCTCTTCTCCACGACAATAGGAAGCAGCGATCAAACCGCGCAACGCACTGCCAATGTGCAGCGTAAATGGCGCTGACGTGGGGCACATGGCGCAGCGTGCCAAGCTGCAGGAGGCGCCGGATCGCTTTTTTCGCCCGCTGTGCACTTCAGCACCTCCTGCGTTTCTGTGAGTGTGTACGCGGAGACAACGAGCAACCAGGAGTGCTTCTTTCAGTGGCGTGAGGGGGGAAGGGGGATTACGACGGCCGCAGAGCGCCGCCATACAGTAGTGTCAACGAAAAAGGACCGCTGAAGGTGCTGTGAGCACATTCTAACGGAGTCAGTGGCTGCAGGAGAGGCGTGGACGGACGGGTGACAGTAACGAAAGGTTTCCTCGCAGGCAACCCGCAGTGGAGAGGAAC